CTAGATGCGACACGTGCAAATGTTTTGACCTATAGTGCGGGTCTCCATTATTGCCCACAGTGGTTGAATATTTTGCTGTTTATACTTACCCACAGCCCATTCACAATACCGAGACTCACATTTGACCCTGCGCTTTATATGTTCACCTCAAAATCTGCAAACCCCCTCGACCCACTCACCAGGTACTTTGGGTATACAGACCAACTGACCACCCCCCCGTCCGTCCGGTTGGTCGACAGTGCAGGTCTATGCATCGCAAGAGACCCTCGAGGCCTACCAGCTGGCAGATGATGATCTCGGGCGTTTGGTACAGTGGACACTCGGAAGCCCGCAGGAGACCGCGGACGGAAGGGGAGGGCGGAGTGATGTGGGGTGTATGGACATGAGGGATAGAGCTCTTCCGTCCATTCCATCGATGAAGGGGGATTAAATCTGAAGCAGAGAACCTAAATCGCCACATGAACATGAGTTTCGGGAACCAACTGGGCATTGTGAGAGGATCAGATGCGCCTGAGAAGAAAAACAGTTGCAAAATGCACCTCTTTAAGTCCCTACAATATTGTGTGTGTGCGTTCTCCCCTTCCGCAGATTGACGGTTGCTGCAGGAGCTTTGGGAGGTGCGATTTACCTTCACACACGTGTGTGGCCCCAACGGTGGCACGGCCGGGGAGCCTGCAAAAGGCATCAAAAGGCCTTGGGTTGGAAGAGAAAGAGAGGCCAACCTCGATGGGTCCTGTGTGTTTTTCTGCTACAAGAATCCCTAATGTTGACCTCATAACACTAAATGCCCCGTGAATAATGCTAATTTTTTTCAAAAAAAGAATGTCCCCTAAATAATGCTAAACTTTTTGGGCTCTTGTTTTTGGGGCTGACTCCAAAACTCAATATTATTTTATATACTCTCAGCTGCTTCCACTCTGAGCTTTCAGCTGCTTCCAAATCTTGATTCTGAGCTCCAGGCATAGACACACCACACACACACAGAACAACAACAACAACAACAACAACAACAACAACAACAACAACAACAACAATGACAACAGACCCCATTCCTCAGCCCCTGGTCCTTCAAACTTTGGTACTTTATCTTTGCTGCTGGCCTCCTTTCTCATGAAATAGGTGAGAGCTTTTTGGCCATCGCAGGACAAACACCCTGCTGAATACCTGCATCTACTGCACCCAGTAGAGGCATTTCATTCTCCTTTCATTTCCCTTTCATTTCCTTTTGTTTCCCTTTCATTTCCTTTTATTTCCCTTTCATTTCTTTCCTTTCCTTCAATCTCCTTTCCTTTCCTTTCATTTCCAATTCAAATCAAGATTTTCTAGGATTTTTCTGGATTTCACACTATTTGGGGCCTGCACTTGATCAGGGGGGGTTTATTGTTTAGCCGTGGACATTAAGCTCTTCAAATGTTTTTGGGAGCTTGGTTTGGAGAGCGGATACTCTCCTTCAAGTACTGTAGGGGCAGGCAGGGGGCAGGCAGTACTGAGCTGGCTATTCGCCTTTGGATATGCCGGCCCTTCCGTCCGGGCCCTGCGAACGCCATCCGCCGCTACTCTAGGTGCTCGGCCTGGGCTTTGGGACTGCGGATGCCCGCATGGAGGAGGTGGACATCCTGGAGTCTTGGAGCAAACGCATAGCTTCGGGTGCCACATCGAATCCTCCCTCCACTGGTGGGAGGCCGCGAGCGAGCGAGCGAACGCCACGGTGGATGTCCTCGCACAAGCGAACACACGTCTCTGAGGAGAGCGAAAGCCTAGCGGTGTGTGACGCCTACGATGGTGAGATCAACGTTTTTGGACAACAGATCCAGAAGGAGCCGCGGACGACGCGACTGGAATATAGCCTGGAACGTTGAAGATCTTGTTATATTGTCCCGCATGGAGCTACTGATACCTGTTGGAGGACGAAAATGTACAAGCATTCCGTTAAAGAGGAGACCCCTCGATCTCCATGTGATGCTCGTGACGAAGGGTATTTGGTTCTTGTATTGTTTTGTCTAATTACAGTACATAGCACCTGGTTTGATCAGCTAGCATGCACATGCATGCATTCTTGTCATTGTTTGTTGCTGTGGTAGAGAGAGAGAGAGAGAAGGAGGGAGAGGGAGAGGGAGAGGGAGGCCTGCGTGGCCTGCTCCATCATCTCATCATCCCTGTCTCAGACCAGGAGTCGCTAGACCTTTGCGAGCTCGGGAGACCCAGTTGGGAGGGTCGACCCTGTGACCCGCTTGTGTGCTTTGGGAGTCTCTATGTGAGGTTGACAAAAATGTGACCCCTGTTCCCTTCTTTCCTATCTAGAAGAAATAACCATCTGGAGCTGTGAAAGCTATGCTTTGGAGCTTTTAACCACTGCACAAAGAGAAGAGTGTGTACATATATATATATATATATGTGCAGGCGGATTCGGAAATTTTTAAGCTGGTGAAGATGGAGGAAGATCGCTGCGGCCGTCCCTCTTTGTTATATGACTTGGAACAAGGACTACTTTCACGGAGCTGCCCACATCAAGAGCAGGATGCAGATATGATCAGCCGAAGTAAAGAAAATGGCCATCCATGTTCTAAGAGTTTGGGCGGCAGTGATAACAATAGGTTGTAGTGTACTATGCCTTGACTTTTGCACTGTAACTGTAACCATGAGTCATTTTATCTACTCATTCCAAAGAAGGCTGCTCGCACTATGATCCCAACGCCTGAATGGGTGGTAAGCTCACGACCGGTTGTTTTGGTGCAGTATTCTGCCAACCGATTGTTTGCAAGTTCCGATTTTGCACGCAAAAACTCTTCCCTCACATGTCATGGATATCGTGACCGTTCGGTCGGGATAGTCTGGTGGACAGTCACCAGTGACCTGGTCCACCAGGTGGAGAGGTGGGTTCTTGCTCCAACAAGCCATCCAAGTTTCCAACAAGCCATTGAGATGCCACTGTCCTTCTGTACCACAGATTTTGCAATTGATCCACAACTGTTCCATTGCTTGGGTATAGTTATAGTATGTTATAGTATAGTAGATTATAGTAGTGACGAGTTTTGTAGAACTAGAACTGCCATCATGCCTTCCCAACCAGGCCAAGCTCTGGTTCGTGTGAAGAAGAGTCCATCACCGCACGGGGCCTTGGCATTGTGAAGCTGCATGAGGTGAAGGGCCCAGCGAAGCGGCACCGAAGTGGCACCGAAGTGGTGAGTGGAGGCTTGGCTGTCTCCCTTCTTTGACCAAAAACAGGTGGTTCAGCTCAGCTGCTTTTGGATGCCAAGTTCAGCTAACGCAGCAACCGACCGAAATCGGCGGACTCTCCTCTCCTCACAGGAGAGAACACATGCCCCCAACAGGTCGACTGAGCCCGGTTCGTGTTGTTTTGGTTCGTTCAGATGACTGAGGCGTTCGGTGTGTCCCTTTTGAGACCGGCACCTTAGCTCGACACCAAGGCGATGTACGATGCGACACAGGGGCTCCTACGCTTCACGGTGGAGTCGCGAAGATGTCGTGCGAGAGCTCGGCTCGGGAAGACGGCGAAATCCAAGCCAAAGAGTAGCGATGACATCCAACCTAAAAGGAATGGCCTCCAACCTGTAGCGATGGCCTGATGGCCTCCAGCTGGAAAGAGAAATCAATCTGAAGAATGTCAATCCCAGACACTCCATGGGACTGCCATATTATATGCCGATTTGGTTTGGGGGGTCAAGGTAGGCATTAGGGCATACATGGAGTGTCGGGGAATGTTGAATATTGATGAATTCAACCGACCAGGACTACATCTCGAAGTTTGGGGAGTTATAAATCAAAAGTCAACATTGTACAGAAGAATGCAGGCAGATCGGGCAGCAAATATTTGTCGGCGTATCACCATGTGGAGTTTCATCCATTTTGCAACTCATCTGGATGGAGCATCAACTCGAGGATTCGAACGAAAAGAACACTGGTTTTCTCAGTTTGCCTCAACGTAAAGAGGAAAAGTATTGAGAAAATGAAATCATCCCAAACTCCTGCTCCACCAAGTTCCCTGTTTCATTGATGATGTTTTGATCCACATGAATTCTTCTTCTGAAAGCGAAAACAACCAGGAAAGCAGTCCAACCAGGGCCCTCTTCAGCTGATGTATCAGATTTGTATACCCACCGGTTCAAGACGCTGCGGAGGAGTACTGTGGGAGAGACTCCACGTTTGATCAGCTATCATGATGCAATTAGATAAGGAAAGATATAACTTTCCTCCACCAACAGGCTGTTGAGCGGGTTCTTCGCAACATTTGAGGAATGTGGGACTCTCATGAATTGAGGTGGGGAAAGCCCTTTTGCCATCTTGCTCCAGTCCAGTACGCATCCAAATGGAAGACCAGCAGCCAAAAGCATGGTCCATCAAGATGGGTTCGCACATGCAGCCAATCCAAGGTTAGCATGTGACAGTTGATGCGAGTGTGTCTTTTCTTCAGGTTCTTGTTTGTGGCCTCGACGATGCGGGTTTTTTCAGTCGCTCAAAGAAGCCGTTATATGACGATTATGCCAGAGGGATGTTGACAAGGTATGTGACTTCCACCCCAAAAAAACAAGTTCCACAGGCTCAGATAATGGATCCTTTTTGGGATCAAATCCAGACTCTTTGCCCAAAACGAGACCTGAAAAATCCACACCATTTCCAAAATGAAGCTTGGATCGGCCTGCCAGATAGGCGCTGCGGCTGAGCCACTGAACAACTGCGTTGGATGATGTTTGAATCCCCGGTCCTCACCCAAATCCATTCCCAGTTCTGTTCAATCGATAATCCCATCCCCTCAATGTTTGTTCGAAGAATAATGTAAGAAGAGAGAAGGTCTATTCAGACGTTGCTTTTGACGCATTTGCTCAATCTACATTCATAATGTTCATCGTCCTGAAACGTCCACCGCGACCAAGCCACGACCAGCCAAGCTACTTGGGAACTCCTCACCGGACGAGCTCACGAACGAGTCACGAGACGACGAGACGAGACGACGGCCGACGCGAGCAAACGGATAGCGAGCCATGGAACGAGAGCTTTGCTTGATTACGCCGGTGCGACTCCGTGGCAAAGTGGTTCATGGCTTTGGTCGAGGAGAGAGATGCCAGGGGTTGGATGTGAATTCCTTTTTGGATTCTGGATGTTCGCCGAAGACTGGAAGACCTCCATTTCAAGTGAGGATGTGGATTTGTTTTTGTAGGATCAGCGACTTTGGAGTCAATCACTGGAGTCCTGCAGGTACCTTGGAAGTGGCCCTACTTGTGAGCAGGTTGCTTGCTTTCTTTGTGTTGGAAACCAAAGGGCCTCCACGCAGTCAGGCTAGATTTACAGCATCCCACCTATCAGTGATGAGCTGGTTGGGGTTATTGGGAAACCCAGGTTTTTGGAATCACCTAGAGTCCTAGAGAGAGAGAGAGAGAGGGCTGCCTTGCATCCATTCGAGGACAACAATGTGAGCAGACTTGATGGGTGCAGCTTTAGTTTAAGCCGCAGAATTGAGAGCACATGACCTTGGTCCCAGCTGTCCTTTTGTCAGAATAGAACAGCTACACGTCTAGGAAAAGAGTGCTTCGAAACGCAATAGGCTTCAATAGGGTGGACAGAGCTTCTGGCTTGAGACCAAAACTTTTGGCTTGAGACAGTGCAAGACTCGAAATCTTTGCTGTAGCGAACCAATGCTGCACATCAACCCTTCTAAGGGCTTGCTTCCAGCCACTGCTGGGAAGCCGACCCCCAGGCAGACTACGGCCTTGTAGACAAACAGCGGTCGAAGGACTTCGACAGCGGTCGCACCCATGGATCTCAGGGTTTCATGAAAGACATCGGCGAGCTCGGGGATAGACTTTGCGAGCTTGGTCATTTGGATGAGCAATGGTCCACTGGTCAATAAAACCTACCAGGAAACAGGATCCCCCGAAACCTCACCATTTAGACCCATGTCAAACCCTATGAAACCTGAACATCAGCGCCGTGCAAGATGTTTCTACCGACCAGCTTCATGTGAAAAAACACATTGTTTTTATATGTTTTACTCCATTTGAGACTCATACATTCCACCTAAGGCTCTATATAATAATCAGTTTTGGGAGCTTTCATTTCGTGCACCACCTGGGGACCCCCAGAGCCTTGCAGGATCCAAGGAGCTGGGCTTTCCAACAGCCAACCTCGAGATCCAGGAGGAAAGCTGGGAGAGCAAGGAGACAGAGGGGGCAGTCTTGACATGTCTTGACGAAAAAAGACGATCAAAAACGCATTTTGAACATCAGAACATGCAAAAAAAATGCTAAGATCAAGTAAGATCCGGACTCCAACTTGCTCCTGAAAGAGAGAAGCAGCATCGGCATCGCTACTAGGAGCAAGGACGCTACTAGGGGCTCCTGGCCTTACTACTAGGAACACTCTAGGAACAAGAAGCTACTAAGGGCTCCTCAAAACCATCCCCACTTGCCACTCGAAGGCCGAGGAGGCCACTGCGACCTCCTCGGGGGATCAGCGGGCGCTGCGGCACTTCGCGGAGTCACACCGCACGGGGATCTACTGTGCCTTTGGCTCCATCGAAGAAGGCGTGGGAAAAGGGGGCCAACCAGTGAAGGATCGAAAGCAATTTTGGTGACTGAAGGAATCTGAAGAAAGCATAAGAGGAAGTGTGGGTGACAAATGGCGGCATGATGGCTTTGATCCTATTATGGAGCTGCCTTTCCAAGAATTCCTCGTTGGATCCAGTGTTTGGGCTGGACGTGCGGCAGGTGTGGGAGGAGAAGAAGTTCACCCAGTGGCCATGAGCCCGCGACCCAGGAGTTCACCCGTTCGGTGCCTTTTTTTGAGTGACCTGTGTGAGGGGTTTGAAGCACCCCACATGGAGTGCTTCACATCCTGTGCTTCTTAGACACGACTGGGACAGCGGAGTCTTCGCTGGACAGCGGATGGGAGATCCATGGAGTCTCCGGTGTCGTCGTGGTATCAAGCGGTTTTTCTGGAAGGGCCAACTTGGCTGGGTATAATTGGGAGACACCCTGGCCCTGGCTGGGTAGACTGCTCTTTAGAACGCCTGTGGGTTTTTTTGCTAAGGGAAGCTACACACCATTAGACACCCATTTCACCAAGGCTTCATCCTTTGATAAAGACCTGAGGCATGGGCTGGAACCCCACCTTCGAAGACGTCAAGGCCAAGACCATTGAGCCATGGATCCTACACCACTTCGATGAGGAGCTTCTTCCCCGCGGCGAGGAAGCGGCGAGAAATCGGCCTGCGGGCGCTGAGGTTCCCACCTCAATCAAGGTGGTCCTGAACAGACAGGAAAACAAGGAAATGGATGGACATGGATATATAATACACATGATTGCATAAATGTATATAGATGTTATATTATATATCATGTAGATAGCTATATATATATATATGGTTATTTCCCTTTGGGCTTGGCGAACCCAACGTCGTCCCACCGGTCCACGGACCGGTCACAGAGTGACCCTACATGTGGCTTGGTAAAATTACCGAACATCGTCATCTCACCATGCGGTCATATGTGAGTGCGGAGTCATCTATGAGTCACTCACACCGGAAAAGCCTTCGACTGTGCAATCCGTCCACAGGACTTCTACGACTGTCACTTGCGCTTGCTGGTGGTGGCATACGTCCGGCCAGAGGCGACGATGTGTGTTGAACAGGCCATGATGGAACGTTCAGCATCAAAGCCTAATCACCAAAGGATAATCCATGGACATGCGTCCCTTGTTGCACTGCAGTTGGCAAAAGATGAGGTTTGCTTTGATCATCAAAAGATGGTTGCCGTGAATCGAGGAACCCAAGATGGACATCAAAGCTTTTTCAAGACTCTTGTTAAAATGACAAAAACTCTTTGGTAGATCTTCCAAGGCAACGTATTCGTGTCACCCTTTGTCATAGACACCGCATTCCAACAGTGTGCACGTTCACGTCATTTCCCCCTAGTAACAGGACAATAGTAAAACAGGAACCATATACAAATATATAAGAATATAGTATTATATATATATACATGACTTAACATATTTTTGTAAATAGTAGTAGTAAAGTACACAGTGTATATATATATATATACACATGCACCATGGCACAGTGAGTAACTACTTGCTGAAATAAACTTCATGGTTCAAACTCGCCGTTGGAGTTTGCAATGTTTACTTGTGGAGGAGTTGCTGAGGGCGGGCCTTTTTGCAGGTGAAGTTCGAGTCCCTCGAGCAACTGAAGGCGGAGATTGGAAAAGATGGCGACTTCTGCAGGATGTCACTCGAAATTCCGAGCCTGGCTGCTTGGATTGGAACAGTTGCCTGCCAACTGCCAGAAATGTGAATAAAGCCAGATTGGCCAATAGTGGCTTTCAGATTAGAATCCGACTTTCAAGCCTCAAGTGTTCATGGAATGGCGTTGTGGCATAAGTAAGTAGTCCCAGGTGACAACGAAAAGGGTCGAAAGGACGATTTCCGGTGTTTGGGAGCGAAACAGCGTTGAATCGTCTCTCCCAGCACCAGCACCACTCTCCTGCCGATTCGTGCCCTCCAAAAAAAAGCCAACGCCTTGGTGTGCCAAAGCCTTGGTGCTCAGCACATGTTTTTTCCTTCACTCCTGACTCTGAAGGAGCCTTCCTCCAAGGCCTGCTTCAAAGAAGACCCTTTCCTGAAGCCATGGACGCAGAAGGTCCAGGACCTGCAGATTGGGATGGAGCTTGTGGGATGGGACCGTACGGTCTCCACTCGGTTCAGTGCACGGACCGGACCATCGGATGGGACCGGTGCCAAGACAAACGACGTGGACGAGTGGAGTGGACGAGTGGACGAACCCGGGAAATCCCGAGTGCTTATTCTATTGGTTACCTACTGGCGCACTGCGGAGACAGTGTAGTATTGTGTATGCCGAAAAACAGACAGGTGGTGACTGACAGGCCATCAGCAACATGGAGAGAATCTTCACAGCCAAACATATTTCATTAGCGTCTACTTGAGAATGCCAACCAAACAGGTGAAACGAGTCGATCGGAATCGCTCTCCGAAGCGGAAAACCGGCTGTTCCTCCACACAACAACCGCTGCCCTGAAATAGCACATGCCAGAGCTTGGTGTCAGAACATCCCGGGGCCGCCTCAGGACATGCCTGGGATCATCACCAGTGCTCAGTTGCAGGAAACGTGGCGCCACTCGTGCGTGGGGGAGGCACACGAGTTGCACTTCCTCAAAAGTCCCACTGGCAGTCGAGAACTGACTGGCAGCAGTCTTGTTTTCAAAATCATTTGGCTCAGTATCAATTCACTATGGCCGTCTTTACTTAAACCTGCAAGTAGTAGTATACCCACTTAGTATCAAAGAACAAGCATTGTTTGCACACCAAATTCTACCACCATCCTGGCGGGCGGGGCGGCTGAAACGTGGCCAGAAGGCTCCCACAGTTCTGAATCCTCGTGTTCCTCAAGAATGGCTGACAGTTCGGGAGAAAACTCTCCCAGATCGAACTGTGAGGTTTGGACAGAAAGACAATAGGAAATGCTTGATCTTTAAACCACCACCTTTTGAGCCTCTTCGCTGCACAAACACTACCGCATGCAGCACCGGTGGCACATGCGGCACACCTAGGAGGCTTTGTCCCAGTTGCCTCCGCTGCTGGAGTCCCACACGCGGCTCTTCCTCACGCGGCATGGGGAGACCGCGGCCAATGAGCAAGGCGTTCTATGCGGTGGCGGCCACGAGTCCGAGCTCAATCAACAGGGCCTGAAGCAGGCGGAGGAGAGCGGGGCTGCCACTGCGTGAGGCTCGCTGTCGGGTGAGAAAGCTGACAGAGAGCAACAGAGAGAGAGAGAGAGAGGGAGGGAGAGGGAGAGAGAGGGAGGGAGAGAGAGAGAGAGAGGGAGGGAGGGAGGGAGGGAGGGAGAGGGGAGAGGAAGGAGTTAGGAGAGAGGTGAGACAGATTGACAGAGGGAGACAACAAGAAAGATTCACACAACTTCCTTTGCCAGGCTACAAGACTTCTATATATATATATATAGTTGTATATATGTGTGTTTTATATAATATATATATATGTAGTATTTTATGTACTAGATTAAATTGCTTTCATGGTGGTGGTAGTAGTAGTAGTAGAAGAAGTAGTAGTAGTTGCACTAGTTCACTAGTAGCAGCAGCAACAGCAGGAGGAGGAGTAGTAGCAATAGTAGCAGTAGTAGTGGAAGTGGAAGCGGAAGTAGCAGTAGCAGTAGCAGTAGCAGCAGTAGGAGTTGTGGTAGTGGTAGTGGTAGTAGAGGTAGTAGTGGTAGTAGAGATTGTAGTGGAAGTAGTGGAAGTATGATAAGTAGTGGTAGGTAGTGGTGGTAGTGATAGTAGTGGTAGTGGTGGTGGTCGTAGTAGTAGTAGTAGTAGTAGTCGTAGTCGTAGTCGTAGTGGAAGT